AAGGAGCATGTGGGACTTCCCTGGTGGTCCGGTGGGTAAGCTTCCACACTTCCAATGCAGGGGGTGCAGATTTGGTCCCTGGCCAGGGAACTAAATTCCCACATACCACGCAGCATAGCCAAAAAGTAAAAAGTTTTTAAAATAAAAAAAGGTGCACATGTTTGAAACAGAATATAAGATTAAAAAACAACTACACTTTTTTTTTTAAAGTAGTTTGGGAGGTTTTGTTCAACTCCTCACCCATCATTAATTTCAGAAAGAGATGATTCTCTAAGCCTACACTATAGATTATGCATTTTGGTGCTCCATGTTGGGGTTACAGCCAAAAAGAGTGAGGTGCTAAATACTATAAAATATTTTTTTAAATTAAGATACATTGCCTTATTAGTCCCATAATCCATAGCTATCAGAGGGGGTTTGAGTCAGTAATGGCCCCTTTTACACATCTAATCCACACCAGGGGTAACTTCCTACTACTAATAAGAGGAAAACCAACCTGCAAATCACTTACCCTCAAGCAACTTGTACCCCAAGGGGTATGATGCATTACACTTTATATGGATCACTTTGCGATCTGGGAGCACCAGTTATTCATTCCATGAGCTTACTTTCTATTTTGTGGCTCAGGGACCACTGGATTGACGGTGATACTGCAAATAAATTACAGTCACTAAACTGCTTTTGGAGTTTAATTTGAGGATGTCAAGGTAGCATGTGATAAACTGCCACTCATATTATTTAAGTACCTATTTTAAAGAGGAAGATTCAAGATAAGAACTGCCACATGCCTGTCTTCTCAGCTTCACTCTAGAGTGTCATTTTTCTGTAAATTTGTTATGTCTCTCTTCCATCGGCCCATTTTGCCTTATCTCTACCACACAGCATCCTCCTTTTGTTGCTAACAAGGAGAGAGAGAGAAAATAGCTTTTGTGAAAGTAAAAGTAAATTCTGCCAACAGAAAATCATTTCCAGACATGAAATCTCTCTAAAGAAAATTTCTGACTCTCTATAATTGAAAACGATGGATCAAATTAGGGTCTAAACAAAAGAAAGTATCTACTAGTTACACGAATGATGCAAATCATACTCAAAGAGACCAGGAAGACTGATCATTGCCAAGACTTGGGTGGCGTATGAGATTTGACTCTATTTCCAAGCTGAAAAGTTAGCCTGCCCGAGAGCCAGGAATACATCAAAGACCCAATACTCCTGGATCAGAGAGAGAGGACAGCTTATTATCCACAAGAGCGGTAGCTAGAGCAACAGCATTTTGGAATGATGATTTTGCAAGTCCCAATTCGCACAAGGGGTTGCAAAGAAGGCTGAGCGACAACTGTACTTGCAAAGGGTTGCACTACAGGAGAAAGAACTCTGAACTTAGGGAACCCGTATCTTTTATAATAGGCAGTAATCTCACCTGTTTTTTTACTCTAGAGGGAGAAGCAATCTTTATCCTCCAACACAGTTTGCTGCACACACAATCATACTCGAAAACACTTGTCCACCCCCAAGGCAGTGTCTGGCCACAAACACCCAGAAACACTAGAGACCTGTATAGAATTGTCTCCCAACAAGGATAACACTGAATTTGTGTGCATATGTGTGAATGTAGAATGTGATCAAGTCAACATAGCACAAACATTTTTTTAAACCCCCATATACTTGATAGGACTTTCTACCTCTAGAATCCACTGGAACAAGGTGAACCCAAACCCAGCAAGGTCATTTAATGCACCCTACCTTGAAGAGCTTGAAGTTGAAGGAAATATGTACCAGAGATAAATCTGGTCTTATTTATCCAATGGACCCAATAAAAGCATCAGAAGGCCAGATCTCCAGGGCCTAGTTTGCAGTTGTTCTTGTAACAGTACTCCACTGAGATGCTCATCCAGTGTGCTGTGGTGGGAACACCCACACAGCCGAGAGGAGTAGAGAAAAATCCATTATAAAGCCATTCATTCCCAGGTGCACGACACCACACTGGCATCAGAACACTGAAGAAGTGAAGCATTTCCAGCCCTGGTGTCTGAGTCGGGGAGGAGGGGAACTCCAGGAAGTCTGGATCTTTCTCACTCACCGAAGACTGGGAGAAGCCACCTGATTTTCACAGGCAAATGACAAACACCCAGCTAGTTACATCCCGAACCTCAGAGAGAATGTCACCAGCTCTCAGTAGTAACTCTCTATGATCCTTTGGATTGAAATAAATTCAAAGAAGAAGAAAACAGCAGTGGGGAGAATCACCAGGACCCCATCTCTGTTCAATCTGAAACTGCCTTCCCCAAAGTTCCAATACCAAATACATTGAGTTCTTCATGTGTTTTTAGACCATAGACAAGCGGCCCTCCCACTCACAGTACTTTCCCCCACCCAAGACATCTTAGGCCATTTCTGCCATCAAAGTGTCCTCAGGGTGGTGCCTAAAGCATAGGTGAAAGGATGTGGGTGAAGGGGGTGGTAGGAAGCTCCCAAAAGTGTTGGCACTCAAGGAAGATCCCTGAGAAGCAGAGGGAATCCACAGCAGCTTTAACTCGGAAGCAGAAACGTGGTGCAAGTGCCGCAGTGTAACTCAGCAGTCACACGGAGGGCTGGCTCTGAGCCGGGGCGTCTCGCTGAGCAACACTGGAGGGGCAGGAACAAGAGCAAGCCCCGTGCTTGCAGGCTGGGCGTGGAGCAGCACCCAGAGTGACTCTAAGCAACGAGGCAAACACGCGGCTCCCACTCTGACCATGGAAAGGGATGAGGTCGCCTCCCAGACGCACTCCCACCTGCGTCTCCAGGCGGGGGCCTGGTGCCTGCCTGGCAGTCTCTTGGCGTTGATCCCTTCTGTCTGTACCCCTCAGTGAAAGGGCAGTCGTGGCTCACACAGACCTCATGTCCCCAGCCACTTCGTCTTCTTGGAAAGAACCAGAAATAATGACTTACTCATCTACTGTTGATCGACTGATTTCTGCACAACACACAGCCTTTCATGGGGACTCCAGTTAAAGGAAAATCAAACATCTGTGTGTAACAAGAGTTGGAAACCACATCACCCTGGGCTGCTCTTTCTCCTAAATTTGCCTTCGCAGGAAACTGAAGAAAGGGTGCTCTGTACTTTGCTGCCAAGGCCAAGCCCAGGAGCTTTTTGTTAGGGGAGAAAACAAGAAAAGCCCAGAATAGGCTGTGCCACAGCTCCAGAGCAGGCGGGGCCCCAGGTTCTCCAGTAGAAAATAAAATGAGAAGTAGTATGCTCACATCATGGCTGCCACCTGTCGTAACAGCACAAGCTGATGCCCTGCCGTCAGACGTGGGCATTGGGCTACGCAAGAACGGCCAGTGGTCTGGGGTACTCAACCTGGGGACCTTAAAAATGTCTAATCTCTGCTCCTACCTACAGATTCTGATTAAGTTGGTCAGGACTAAGGTCTAGGCATTAGCTGCTTTTAAAGCTTCACAGGTAGTTCAAACATACACTTGGGTCTAATATGCGCATACTCTCCGAGGTGGGAAGGAGTCAGTTGAGTTTTCTCGAAGAATTATTTATCATATTTATTCAATTGGCAAACACATATTGATCCCTCTGATGGGTCAAGCACAGAACCAGGGGCCTGATTTATAAGATCCAGTTCCAACCTAAAGAATCCTAGAGTCTAACAGATGAGACAACAGGTGAATGAATAGCCAGTAGTAATATAGTGGAGACATGCCACTAGGCTGTGCATACAATTAGCAGGGGACCAATCCAGCTCTCCAGATGCAGCCTGTTGGTGGAGAGGGTGTACCAGACCCAAGCAATAGTTTTTATAAAGCTTCTGAGGAAAAAAAAAATACAGAGAACATTTCAGACACCCCAAGGAATTCAGTAGGACCAGATGTTAGTCTGAAAGCCTGATAGAGAAGGCTGGAGAGGTAGGGACCAATTCCTTGCAGAGAAGTCAGAGGGAATGGGGTTTTAAGTAGGAGAGTGGAGTGATCAGAGCTGTTTTGGGGAAAGATTATTCTGATTACTGGGTGGAAAACAGATCAGAGGGACATATGACAGAACATAGGGAAGTCAATTCCAAGATAGTTGCAGCAATCATGGCAAGATTTCACCAGGACAGATTTAAGCAGTATTAGCAGAGGAAAAGCTTGGTGACTATGGATGCATTGGGACTGGGATGGGGAGGCCAGGAGGAGGTCCCAGCTTGCGACTTGAGTGCTCCAGAGAGTTAGGTAATGCCAGGCCAAGAGCAAGGGGTGGGGGGCAGGAAGTGTGTGATGTGGTAACCCTCAGAGGCCTTCAAAGGAAAAGTTCTAAAGATTATAACTTGGGCTGGTCAAACCTAACAGAACTGCTGCAAGTTCTGATTTTTGTGTACTCATAGAGTGCAAGGCATTCTAACAATAATTGGAATATCTGATTCATCTGAAATCTTGAGAATATACACCAGATGGGCAAAAGGGAGTTTGAATGAAATTAAAGATGCATGGCCTAGGGGAGTGTTGGATTAGAAGGCAGGCAGGGCCAAGAGCACAGAGTTATTTTCTGTTTCCTGCTCAAGCTGGGACAGACTCTCCTTTCACCACCTGATCTGAAGATGCCTCAGGTGAGGTCCAGGATCAAATGAACAAAAGACCTGAAGATGAAAACCTAGGTATAGGTGCTTGGTACCCTTGTCTGTGCCTTCTCAAGAGGCTCAGTTGTAAAGAAGCCACCTGCCAATGCAGGAGATGTGGGTTCAATCCCTGGGTCTGATCCCTGGGTTGGGAAGATCCCCTGGAGGAGGGTAAGGCAACCCACCTCAGTATCCTTGCCTGGGAAATCCCATGGACAGAGGAGCCTGGCGGGCTACAGTCTATGGGGTTGCAAAGAGTTGGACACGACTGAGCATATGCGCCCACACCCTTGTCTTCAGAGCATCTGACAAAGTAAAATCATCACACCCATGTGGTTTCGCAAGGCAAACGTGTAAGCAGAGGTGTAAGCAGCTTCGTTTATTCGAGTAAATAGCTTGTAAATAAATCATTGGTAAACATTACAAAATTAAATACATTTTCAAAAGCTTGCCAGTGTACATAAAATTCACAAACATAGTTCTTTTAAAAAATAAAATATGTTCAGAGCACCCTTGATATAAAATGCCTGACCCCTGTCCTCTGACAGGGCCACCTAGAGACACCTTACGGTAGGGAGGGGGGTTTCTATGGGAGGCAGTGGGGGCTTCCCGGAGGACACCACGAGTTTCTACTCTGACCTTTGACCTCACCCACATCCAGCTGCATTTTGATCCTTCTCCAAGGAGCCAGTATCGAACTGAGAGGGGCTCAGCAGGTGCCCCAGGCTCAGCTCCAAGCAAAGGGATTGGATCGGGGTGCACGATTAGGGCCACGGTCCTCAGCATAAGCCACTGAGAGAAGCCAGAAAGGAAATCTCTACCACACTTCCAAACCAGCCAATGCTCTTGCATCGACTTTCTCCAGTGGAGCTGAGGTTTTTCTCAGTTGTACATCAGCTCATCGCTCAGCTCACCCACCCTGGTCTGATGCCCCCCAGGCACAGAAGTGACCAGATCTACTTCTAAGGAGGAAGATACTGAATCTGCTCACTTCCTTATGACCTGCTTTCACGGAGAGACAATAATACATGGTATTTGGTAGAAAGCACAGAACGAATTGCTACACGGCACTTTCTGGTTCCACCGCTAAACACCCCTCAGATAGTGTGAACATTTCTCAAGAAATTTGAATAGTCATTCAAAGAAAGGGTTCAGAAAACTTTAAAATACCACAAATGAGGCAATAAGTACATGACCTGGCAAAGCATCCCGATTAACAGAATAATACAAAGTCCATAAATTAAGCCCTTGACCAACTCCACATTGTTGTAGTGTAGCTCATTAATGATACGCTGAGTTCTTTTCACTTTGGTGCAGAAAGTGAACATTGGAGGTCTCCAGCACTCACACGAAGAAGACCTAGTGGCCTCTTGAAAACACACGTGCCATCACCTTCAATAAAAGGACGACCACAGGTTTGTTCCATCTGTGTGAAATAAAACTCACATCCACATTTTAACTTAGTTGCCTGTAGATATATACAAGTACAAGAAATTTGACCTCTGTGTCAAATGTACAACTCAAGAAAAAAGTATTACCAAACTAGCTGTAAGAAAACCATCATCCCTGTATCGTTAGGTCCTTAACATCTGGTTTCTCCAAGAAGATGCTGCCTGGTCCAGCCCCTCCTTGCGTGTCTGCCTGATTTGATGCTCTCTGGTTGGGCTGAAGCCAGAGTCTGTGATATCTTTGCTATTAAAATATTACACCAACCAAACCTTTAAAAACCAAAAAAGGAACACTCTTGAATAAATGTCTAATAGATACCACCCCTCCCCACCCCCAAAAAAAGTTGCTCATAAGGACAACAGTTCTTTAAGAAAAGTCTTCTTGAAGTCCAAATTCCTTCCTGGGTCTCCAGCAGAGTTCCACCTGGGCTGGAATTATACAGCCTTCTTCTGCGGGGGGCTCAACTTCCTCATGCCTCTTATCCGAGAGAGCAGCTCCTTAACGAACTCCTAAAAGAGATCAGAAGCTATTATGAGAAAGTCACAATATTCAAATAAGCAAATTTGAAATCTGCTTGAAGTCACTGACTTCATCTGCAGCTAACCTTAATTGATGAGCTTGGTTGGATGTGTTAACCCAACTGGTACAGTATAGGACATTTTTAAAGAAATGAAGATACTTAAACTTCTCACCATCCTGCCTTCTCACTGCTAAACTCTTTTTAAAGAGAAAAAAACCAAGCTGCCTTCATTCATTGACATTATCTATTTGGCCCCTGAAAGCCCATGTGATTTAGATCAATGTTTCACGAACTTCACTAAATCTTTAACACTTGCTTACAAATCACCAAGGAAATGTGTGGATTCTGAATGAATAAGTCTGGTTGGGGCTGAAGATTTTGCATTTCCAACTGGCCACCAAATGATGCCAGCATTAGTCTCTGAACCTCACTTGAAATAGCTAAACTAGACCCATGGTTTTCACACCACGGGTGTGCACATCAAATCACTGCTGGGGAAGGAGGGCTTATTAAATAAACTCCAGAGTGCTCAGCCCACCACCACCACCCCCCCCCAGAGTTTCTGATTCAGTAGATACAGGCTGTGGCCTGAGAACTTGCATTTCTGACAAGCTTCCAGGTGATACCTATGCTTCTGGTCTCAGGATCTTACTGAGAACCAGGGGTCTAGATCATAATAGAAGTCTCTTGACTTTTTTGGACTGCAAATCACAGTTTGAAAAGAAAAATAAGACACATTTATATCTACAGCCCAGTACATACAAAAATACATCTGAAATAAAAACTTAAAGAATGAATACTTACCATATGTCACAGACTCTTTTTATTCCACTCTAATTTCACTTAAAATGTAATACTGGGGAAGACCCACTAAAATGATGCTGTGACTATTCATGGATCAGAACCCAAAGAACAATCTAGAATAGTTCTCACTTTAAGCCATCAGCAATCTTTTGTTGTTGCCTCATGTGTTAAAGTTTCTGGCTACTAAATAAGTCGCATTTACTAGATAATAATTACTTTGTCTTCCTTTTTTAGATTTGTTGAAACAAAGCTGACAGCCAATCAGAGTTTCTGATCTGCAAGGGACAGCCAGTGAGTGACAGAACTGCGCACAGCAGGGACATCCTGGAGCAAAAACGTTAAGGAGACTTCCTTTCTTTTAAGACCTCTGAGAAACAGCTTTCAGACAATCACCCCCCCAATTACAACCCCCCAGCCATAGGTCCCAGACTTCCGGGAGCACAGTCCCTATGCTTCTATCCAGCTCTAAAACATAATATGCTTAAACAGTTAATATATGAGGAGCTGCCGCGATTTCTTTTTTAATAATCTTTTTGCTATTATAAAAGTTACATGTGCTTTTTCTAGAAAACCCAGAAAATATAAACCAACAACAATTACTCCTCAGAACAAACCACTATTAACATGTTTTCTTCTATGGAAATTATTTTTACCTAATTAAGATCATACTGTATAAGTATATTCTTCATTTGCACTTAGCATTGTGTGTGTGTGTTAGTCACTCAGTCATGTCCAACTGTTTGTGACCCCACGGACTCTGACTCTAGCCCACGAGGCTCCTTTGTCCATGGAATTCTCCAGGTAAGAATACTGGAATGGGTAGCCATTCCCTTCTCCAGGGGATCTTTCCAACCCAGGGATCGAACCCGGGTCTCCTGCATTGCAGGCAGATTCTTTATTATCTGAGCCACCAGGAAAGCCCACACCTAGCATTAAGTCAAGTCTTTCCCCCACAACATTAAGTAGTCTTTTTAAAAATTAATTTAATAGTTATACAGTCCTTTATTATATGGATGTTATGCAATCTGTTTAATTCCTCCATCACTGGATATTTGGCTGGTTTCTGGCTTTTCAAAAGTATAAACAATGCCACAATTAACATCTTTGTGTATAAATCTCTGTATACAATTTGGATTATTCCCTTTGGAGAGCTATTCTGTAGTAGGTCAAAGGACATAAACGTTTTAATCACCACCATTTCTGAACTTGGACAGAAGACATAAATATGGGTATGACAAGCACTGATCTAAATGACTTTCAACTGAAAACAAAACAAACAAAAAACCCTAAAAATCTTGTGATCTATACATAGTTATAGCAACCTAGTATACAGAGATGCAAGACTGAAACAAAAGCTTCACATAAAAATGTAACTCTTACTAGCTGTAAGATATTTTCTATTTTATTCTATTTTGAAAAAAAATACAGATCAAGATCACTTAATGGTTACCACCCATAGTTTGTAAACACAGTGATCTAGACGCAGGTTATTCAATACATTAACCCCTAACCACATTTGGCTATTTCAATTTAAACTAATTAAAATAAATAAAAATTAAAATTCTCTTCCTTGGTCACACAAGCCACATTTCAAATGCTCAGTCACCATATATAATATATTAAATTAGCTAATGGTTATCATATTGAACAGTAGGATTTTTCCATCATCTCAGAAAATTCTATTGAACTGTTCAAGATGACAATACTTGGAATCACAAAACTAGATGCAAAAACCTTGGAGGAAAGCACAAATAGAGAGGGAAAAAAGGCCAAAGACCACGGTCAGAGGCCCTCTAACAAGTGAGATCTGGCAAAGGCTTGGCACCAGAAAAGGAGACTGAAAAAGAGGAACCAATGAAATTAGGGGAAACTCAAGAAAGTGTTCTGGTTTTTCTTTCAAAATTTTTAAAAAATTTAAGTATAGTTGATTTACAATATTGCAAAGAAAGTGTGTGGTTAAGAAGCCAAAAGAAGAAATTGCTGATGAGAGATTAAGTCAAAGACAAAGATATTGAATCAGGCAAGAAAAGGGCCATTGTGCCCTGGAGGAGATAAATTTTAATAGAATGGTTGGGATGGAAGCTCTCAACACTAAAAGGGCCCTAGGGACTTTTTTATAAACAGCTTCACTAAAATATAATTGATATGCCACAAAATACACATAGTTGACGTATACAACTACTATGAGCATACTATCTACACAATGAATATAATGGGCATATCCAATACCTCCAGCTGATTTTTCATTTTCCTTGATACTCCTCCCCTCCTACACTTATTCCTCCTGCCCCAGGAAAACACTGATCTGTTTTCTGTCATTCTAGATTCGTTTGCATTTTCTAGAGGTTTCTATAAATACAATTATAACACTCTATACTTTTTAGTCTGGCTTCTTTGGCTCAGCAAAACTATTTTAAGGTTCAGTAATACTGTATGTATTAATAGTTCATTCCTACTTTGTTGCCAATTGGCATAACCCTTCAGAGAAGTATCACAATTTGTTTACCCAGTTACCTGTTGGTAGAATTTGAGTTATTCCCACTTCGGGGCTACTATGGATAAAGTTGCTTAAAAACATAAATGTTAGAGAGAGTATGGAGAAAAAGGAATCCCTTTGCACTGTTGGTGGGAATGTAAACTGATATAGCCAGTGTGGAGAACAGTATGGAAATTTCTTCAAAAATTAGGAGTAAAACCACCATGTGATCCAACAATACCACTACTAGGCATATACCCTGAGGAAGCCATAACCGAAAAAGACACATGTATCCCCAATGTATCACTGCAGCACTCTTTACTATAGCTAGGACATGGAAGCAACCTAGATGTTCATCAATAGATGAATGGATAAAGAAGTTTTGGTACATAAATACAGTGAAATATTACTCAGTCATAAAAAGGAATGCATTTGAGTCGGCTCCAATGGGGTGGATGAACCTAGAGCCTATTATATAGAGTGAAGTAAATCAGAAAGAGAAAAACAAATATCATACATTAACAAATATATATGGAATCCAGGAAGATGGTACTGATAAACTTATTTGCAGAGCAGCAATGGTGACGCAGACTTAGAGAACAGATATGTGGACATGGTGGAGGAAGGAGAGGGAGGGATGAATTGAAAGGGTAACACTGAAACATTGCAGTCCCTTGGACTGCAAGGAGATCGAACCAGTCCATCCTGAAGGAAATCAGTCCAGAGTATTCATTGGAAAGACTGATCCTGAAGCTGAAACTCCAATACTTTGGCCACCTGATGCAAAGAACCTATTCATTGGAAAAGACCCTGATGCTGGGAGGGATTGGGGGCAGGAGGAGAAGGGGATGACAGAGGATGAGATGGTTGGATGGCATCACCGACTCGATGGACATGAGTTTAAGCAAGCTCCAGGAGTTGGTGATGGACAGGGAAGCCTGGCATGCTGTAGTCCATGGGGTTGCAAAGAGTTGGACACGACTAAGAGACTGAACTGAACTGAACTGAACATTGAAACATATGCACTACCATATGTAAAACAGATAGCCAGTGGGAATTTGCTGTATGATGCTGTGAGTTCAAATCCAGTGCTCTGTGACAACCTAGAGGGGTAGGATGGGGTGGGAGGTGGAAGGGGAGGTTCAAGAGGGAGGGACATATATATACCTATGGGTGATTCCTGTTGCTGTATGGCAGAAACTCACACAATATTGTAAAGCAATTAAGAAAATAGAAAACTACACAAATCATAAAAAACGTTGCTAAAAACATCATGTACAAGTCTTTGTATGAAATACGCTTCCACCTATTTTGGGTGAATACCTAGGAGTAGAAGAGCTGAGGCATTGATCTATTTAGGTGTCTATCCTTACACCAGTAAGGAAAGTGTAGGTTTTTATAAGTCTTAAAATCAGGTAATGTTAATCAGCCAAATTTATTAATCTTTTTCAAAACTATTCTAGGTCCTTTACATTTCCTTAATAATTTTAGAATTGTTTTGCTTGTAAATGCAAATAAAAACCGGCTGGGTTTCATTAAGACTGCATTAAATCTACAGATCAATTTGGAGAGAATTGACATCTTAACAATAATAAATCTTCTCACCCATGAAAATGGTATATCTCTGTACTTATTCAAGTCTTGTTTAAGCAACATTTTTGGTTTTCAGTGTATAAATATTACACACCTTCTGTCAGATTTATTCCTAA